ATGAAAACTATGTAGCTTACGACATGAAATCAGTGCCTCAAGAAGCTCAGTATGTGGGACCAGCTGAGAGAACAGCAGAACCCCAGTTGCCAGCTTATGTGTGTAGTTGGATTTGAATGAATTCTGACTTCAATACATGCAGAAGGGGAACTGTTCTAATCATGAATGTTCCAGTATCATGGAACAACCACCTAACAACCTGACTGTACAGTACAGACAAGCTTAGAGTCCTAAAACAAAGCTATAACTGTAAAAGAAAGTTGAACTTTTCTAATTTATATAAACTCTCCCCATACGTAGCCAACAGTATAGATTTTGAAAAGACGGGTTCTTAGAAGGCCAGTACTGTTTGTCTAATACTGCCTAGCACAGCCCTGTGCATGGGAATACATGTGATGATTGCCCTTGAGCTTAGTGCTTTGTTGCCTGGCCTGTGTGTCCCTGGGCTTCAAAACTGGAATCTGACAGTGGTAAGCAGGAAGTTAAATCATGCAGTAAGTCATGACTTGATTCGATTCAAATAGGCAAAGTACTTAGGCAAAGTGTTCTTGTGGGCTGGGGATTATAAATGATTAAAGATGTCATCTTTGACCTCAAGTAATGCGTAATATCATCAGGAAATAACACCTCAGTAGAAATAATAATCCATCACAGTGGATTCTAAAAGGACTTGAGGGAAGGATAAAATTGGGGAAAGAATTCACGGATGGAGGTGCCCAGGTGTGAAAGCATACAGGGTGTTCAAGGAGCTGTGGACTCCAACACTCACCTGTCCAGCTCCTCTCCCCAGTGCCCCCGCCACTTTCCACCCGTCTGACCTTTGTTCCCCCTGCATCTTCTCATGGATGTGTCCCCCCTAAAACATTAATCATGTTCACTCCTCTTCCCCTTGCCTTTGTCCTCCACACTGGTCCCTTGCCCAGGATACCATTTCAACTTGGATAAGTTGTATTGGTCCTTCACGTCTGGTTTAAATTCCTTCCTTCTCCTAATCCATGCTATTAGTATTGTGGCCTCTCCCGTTGCGGAGCACAGGCTCCGGACGCGCAGGCTCAGAGGCCATGGCTCACGGGCCTGGCCGCTCCGTGGCATGTGGGATCTTCCTGGACTGGGGCACGAACCCGTGTCCCCTGCAGGCGGACTCTCAACCTCTGCGCCACCAGGGAAGCCCTGGAGTTAAGATCTTTAAAGGTGATTAACTTAAAATGAGGCCATTAGGTGGAGGCCCTAACCCAATATTACTGGTGTCTTTCTAAGAAGAGGAAGAAACACCAGGGGTGTGCGTGCACAGAGGGACAACCATGGGAGGACAAAGCAGCCAGGAGGCGGCCGTCTGCAAGCCAAGAAGAGAGGCCTCCCAAGAAACCAACCGTGCCGCCACCTTGAGCTTGGACTTCCAGCCTCCAGAACTGTGAGAAAATAAATTTCTGTTGTTTAAGTCACCCAGTCTGTGGTATTTTGTTATGGCAGCTCCAGCATTAATAAACCTGGACCTAGTGCCGTATGCCAGGTACTGTTCTAAGCATTTCACAAATGCTTCAACATTTAAACACCTTCTCACCAGTGCCAGTGAATCACTACGGCTGCATTTCTCAATGGGTAGGAGGGGAGAAGAGTGTATCCCCTTCCCTCTAGGGTGGGAGCTGGTATTCAGAATAAATATAGTTGGGGGAAAAACACCCTAAGAGATATATCTCTTTTCTCAGGTGAGAATCACAGGTGGAAGGGTGATGATTGATAATTATAACAATAGTAAAATGATTGCCACCATTAACTGAGCAGTTACTGTACATAGGCAAATACCAGCCGTATTATAAGAATTCCTTCTCATTTCACCCCCACAGAAACCTTAAGAATTAATTAGGTAATATTTCATTCCCTTTATTTTACAGAGGAAGAAACCAGGTTAAGAAGGGGCAAGCCAGTTGTCAGCTGGCAAGGAGAATCAGAATCAGACCCAGATCTGGGCCTTTTTCCACTCTGCACACTGCCTGGGAAGTGGACTGGGGTCCCTTGGCTGGGGGAGGGGAGATTCTAAATGCAAGACAGAATTTGTTCTTAATGCAGATCAATGGGGAGCAGCAAGGTCAATTGTTTTAGAAGAAAAGGCAGCGAGGAACACCTAACAGCCTTAATAGCATGTGCAAAAACAATCGTTCTCTTTATTTAGCTCCTCCTACATGCCAGGCATTGAGCTTGGAACTGAGTCCTGAGAAGCTGATATTTTTATCTTTGCTTTTTATGGACATGGAAACTGAAGGCCAGGGAAGCTGAGAGACCTGGCCAAGGTTGAAATAAGTGGTAGAACCAGAGTGGCAGGCCTGGGAGGCTCCGATCCTGTGCCTGTCCTGGCCCACCCATGCTGCTTTCGCAGGTATCTCAATGGCTTCTGTACCCACACTGCATAAATGGCCAGTGAATGCATGAGGGCCTCCATGCCCTGAATGGAGAGTTTACTTGCCATATCATGGTCTTTACCAAGATTCACCCTAAAGAATAATATAGAATACTAAATAATAAAGAGAAATGAATAGTAATGGAGTGGCTTTTGCCCAAGAATGCTCCAAGGAGCCTTATTTTCCCAAGATGTTCCATGGAAAAAATTCTATGGTCAGACAAGTTTGGAAGTGCTGCCTGTTATCCCTCCACTGCCTTTGAGACTGCCAGTGTGGCAGTAAAAAAAAACAAACAAAAAACTATGCACATCAACAGATTCTAGAGGTACTACAGTAAAAAAAAAAATCTGACTCCTTCACTTAAGCTAAGCTTTCCCCAATCTTTCTGAACCACAGAATTGTTTTTCTACATGTGTCAGTGAACATACCTCGCAGCATCCTTTTAGATATACTACATTGTAGGACTGAAGAAGCAGAAAGAGAAGCAGGCTGGAGCCACTTTTGGATATGGTAGCTAACATGCAGACTTTTTTCTTAAGAATGATCAAACTGTGGGGACTCCCCTGGCAGTCCAGTGGCTAAGACTCCATGCTTCCACTGCAGGGGACATGGGTTCGATCCCTGACCAGGGAACTAAGATTCCCACATGCCGTGTGGAACAGCCAAAAAATAAATAAATTTTTAAAAAGAATTATCAAATTGTTGGTTGCTTACGTTTAGTTTTCTTTCTATTGAGAAAATAAACAGCTTCAAAAAATCTGACGCAACAAATCTGACAAGGGAAGGGCTATTTGCATTCCCAAATCTCGTGGCTCATCCTAAACCTTCTTGCTTCCGTTCCGCCCCAACCCCGTTCCATTTTCCAGGTTTCCACCCACCCCTTCCTCTTTGGGACTGCTCTCCAGCTACAGGCGACTGGACATGACAACTTGCAATGCACCATGTCCCTCACCACCAACCCCCCGTCCTTACAACGAGGAAGCAGTGACAGGAAGGCATCAGACCCTCTGCCCACAGTTATAGCCCACGCTGGCAGATTCCAGAGAGATGCGTGAACTTATGTGGTAGACGTATCTCTCTGCCTTGGGGTTAGGCAGGAGTACTCTAGACATTCGCACGGCGGGGTGGAGGGGAAGGTTGCCAACAGTTCCTTTAAAATGTCCAGATTATGTACACAGTGCTATATTTAAAATAGCACAGGGAACTCTACTCAGTATTAGGTAACAACCTAAATGGGAAAAGAATTTGAAAAACAATAGATATATGTATAACTTTGCTGTACACTTGAAACTAACACAACATTGTTAATCACCTATGCTCCAATATAAAATAAAAAGTAAAAAAAAAACAAAAAACCTGCTACCAAAAAAAACTCCAGATTATGAGTGCTGTGATTTTTCTAATTCTCTTTTTGCTTATTTTCAGTTTCTAATTTTCCATAATGAATGTGCAGCACTTTTGTGTTAAGGAGGAGGAGGTAAAGGGGGGAAGAACAGGAGAGAGGCGGGGGGGGGGGGGGGGAGAAGGAGGGAGGGATGAGGGAGGAGGAGGGGAAAATAAATCATAAAATCTCCGGAGAAGGAGACTGCATGAGCTCACCTAATAAAATACACGCGTATCTCGTCAGCCTTAGTTGTGACCTGCAAAGCTGCAATTTTCAACACTTTCCCAGTCACCCCTTAACCAAAGCAAAGCTCAGAATTCAGGTGCAGCGCCGCCTCCCCCTTACCCACGCGGAAGATCAGATCGTCTTCGATGGGATTCTCTTTTCGTTTCCCGGTGCTGTACATGCTAGCGGGTCTCTTCACAGCCTTCTGCTTCACATGACCGCTCCCCGGGGACTTCACGCGCCTCTTCACGCCCTCGGTGGTGGGGGACACGTCCGCCGACCGGATCACCTTCAGCTTAAACGGGCTGCCGCGGATGTGCTGATCGTAGAGCCGCAGGGACAGGGTGAAGTCGCCCTCTTTCTGTACTGTGTACAGGAACTCGTACGTGCCGTTCTTGTTGTCCAGGATCTCCCCGTCCGCCACGCTGCCGTCGGGCGTGCTCAGCTCCGCCGTGATGTAGGCGTTGCCCGTTTTGCACAGCTCGCCGTCTTTGTCCTTGGTTGTTATGGTAACGGACATGGGCTGCCCGATGATGGTCTGCCGCAGCCCCTCGCCCGTGGCCACCGTCTCGGAGGCGACGGCATTGGTGGTTAAAATCGTCCCGAGGTTGTGGATGGACTTCTTGAGCCCCTCGGTCTCCACGATGAAGTCCAGCTGGTCGTTTTCTCGCGGGTGCAGCGGAAAATCCTGGTCCGCCAGTTCGTTCAGCTTCTCGCTCATCTGCTTCTTCACAAGCAGCACCTCCGTCTCCGGAAGAACAGGAGAGAGGCGGGGTGGGGGGGAGGGAGAAGGAGGGAGGGATGAGGGAGGAGGAGGGGAAAATAAATCATAAAATCTCCGGAGAAGGAGACTGCATGAGCTCACCTAATAAAATACACGCGTATCTCGTCAGCCTTAGTTGTGACCTGCAAAGCTGCAATTTTCAACACTTTCCCAGTCACCCCTTAACCAAAGCAAAGCTCAGAATTCAGGTGCAGCGCCGCCTCCCCCTTACCCACGCGGAAGATCAGATCGTCTTCGATGGGATTCTCTTTTCGTTTCCCGGTGCTGTACATGCTAGCGGGTCTCTTCACAGCCTTCTGCTTCACATGACCGCTCCCCGGGGACTTCACGCGCCTCTTCACGCCCTCGGTGGTGGGGGACACGTCCGCCGACCGGATCACCTTCAGCTTAAACGGGCTGCCGCGGATGTGCTGATCGTAGAGCCGCAGGGACAGGGTGAAGTCGCCCTCTTTCTGTACTGTGTACAGGAACTCGTACGTGCCGTTCTTGTTGTCCAGGATCTCCCCGTCCGCCACGCTGCCGTCGGGCGTGCTCAGCTCCGCCGTGATGTAGGCGTTGCCCGTTTTGCACAGCTCGCCGTCTTTGTCCTTGGTTGTTATGGTAACGGACATGGGCTGCCCGATGATGGTCTGCCGCAGCCCCTCGCCCGTGGCCACCGTCTCGGAGGCGACGGCATTGGTGGTTAAAATCGTCCCGAGGTTGTGGATGGACTTCTTGAGCCCCTCGGTCTCCACGATGAAGTCCAGCTGGTCGTTTTCTCGCGGGTGCAGCGGAAAATCCTGGTCCGCCAGTTCGTTCAGCTTCTCGCTCATCTGCTTCTTCACAAGCAGCACCTCCGTCTCCGTGCCATGGTTGAGGGCCTGCGCCGTGAAGCTGCTGCAGCTCTTGATACTCTCCTGCCCCTCAAGCAGAGTATCCAGCTGCGACTGGAGGACCTGCGGGGAAACCAAGCCGGGTGAGCTCTTCCCAGGGCGCCCGGGCCCGCACCTGCCCGCGCTCTTGGCCCCCGGCAGGGGGTGTTCAGTTTAACCCAGGGAACCTCGTTCTCACGCTGAATCCTAAATCGCCTTACCAGTCCC